GGGTTCGGTGTATTTGGGTATGTTTGCTTTGGTTGGTTGCCCCTAAATCCATGTGCCTTCTCTTGACTTCATCTCACTCCTTAGATCAAACTAACCTCGAATCTATGGCTCATAGTGAAGGGAGTTGTGCTTCTTCACATGTGGACAAGTGGGAGCCTAAAATGGGCCAAGCCATGGTTGGCCCACCATAGGGGGTTGTCCAACCCCTTGTTAGGCCCAAATTGCTCTATCTTTTGTACATGTATCCCTACATTTACATAATTACCAAAACTAGTGGAATTGTTAGAAATAAGTTATGTCACTAAGTTGATGATCAAGACTTTGTCAAGTAAGAGTTGACAAATGAATTTTATGATGTAGTGATCATTAACAAACATCATGACCAGAAGAAACTTAGTGACTAGGTACGTACCTCGGTGAAGCTCCAAAGTGAACTAAAGGTTACATTTTAGCAACTGATACCACGGGATATGTCAGAACGTCTTCGGGAGTTTGCCCTCACCATCCTTATAGCTCTTTAGTTACTACATTTATTGCTTCCGCACATAGTTTGCTTGTGTGACCTTTACCTTCATAAATTAGCTATAGGCTAGTCAATAGGATTGTCTTTAATTTATGTTGCAAAAGTTTTTGTGGCTTGAGGGTAAGATAAGAGCACACTAGAAATGCCTTAAGTGCACATCATGCTAGAGTAGTTTACGGTCTTAAGTGGTAGTTCATTTAGAGCCCTAGGTTTTAGGTTTTGAATTAGACACCTAATTCAAACCCCCACCCCTTCTTGGGTGCTCCTAGGACCTTTCAATTAATATCAAAGTCGGTGCTCACACTTTTGACTTTTCACAAGGCTAGCCATTCAATTGGCATATTTGTGAAATTGGCTCATTAGGAACCTTTTGGCTTCACCGCCAAGTGAGTATATGATATCGAGAGTTAGGATGATATCAATAGGGCTCCACACTTTGATGGAACGGGTTTTCCATGATGGAAAGTGCTCATGGAAGCACAGCATCAAGCTAGGGGGCTTGTGTTTGGTGTGTCACCATTGAGGGAAAACGAAACAAGAACAAAATAGAGAGACAATATGATGTAGTTGCAAAATCCATCTTATTCTCTTCTCGGTGATAGTGTGTTCAATTATGTCTTTGCTTGGACCAATGCACAAGATCTTTGGGACGCTATTAATGGAAACATGGAGGCACAAAGGATGCGCAAAATGAAAAATTCCATGTTCTCTTTAGTGAAAATCTCGATAGCTTTAAACAAGAAGAGCACGAGAATGCACATGATATGTTATCATGCCTAAGCTTTCATGTAAATGAAATCGATGCCTTAGGTGTGAAGGACATTGTATGATGAGTACAACCGAAAGATCATTCAGGTTCTTTAGAAGACAGAGTAGAATGTGATCATCTCAATTCTTCATGAGAAGGAATTTGATGATACGACACCCAATCAAGTGATCAACAAGATCATCAATCGCTCACGTGCTCCAGATCAGAATCAAGCACTCATCACCAACATCAAGCATCAAGAGTTTGCCTGCCACAAACAAGTACAAGATAAAGAACAAGCTAAGGTGGTAAGAATCAAGCTCGAGTGAAGAAGACCACAATGATGTAGAAAAACCTTAACACACTAGTGGACATTGCGTCCATGACTTTGTAATTTCAAAATAGTTGCCGAGTATAAGGATATATAGTCAATGCTAAAATCATGCCTCGTGCCTGCAGAGACTAGCGAGATCAGGATTCACCCAACGTCCACCATCCAGAGACCAACGAGATTGATTAATTAACATCTATTTGTGTGATGGTTAGTTATATTTTTATTTTTATTTCCATTTCATATATTAGTACCGTAAGCTTATTTTTGTGTGCTATGTATTTTTATGCATATTTCGAAAGATTTGCGGTGTAAGCTTATTTTTTCGTATTTCGAACATTTAGTATTGTATTTGAACTATCTGCATTGTAGTTTAAGCAACTTTACAACTTAATCTTTGAACTTTAAATTTATCATGTTATTTATTGCTTCAAATTGAGTTGTAAAATTTACAATTATTTATGAATTTGGTAATTGGTAAATAGATTTAACTGGAATTGTTGTGGAAAATTTAGTGCGGCATGCCCTTTATTGGGGAAGTCCTAGGTTACCTGCTGCCTAGAGCTTGCTTGGCTTGGTTTTATTCGGCTTTGACTCCTTGCTACATTGGTGAATCCTAAAATAGTGGCTTCAATGTCTCCTGCTCCCTCCGTCATGAATATAAGATATCGAAGGTTCAAAATTTATACCAAATTATAAGTTATTCTACATTGCTCAACTCATCTATGTGCCTTTTAAACCTCGTCCATACATGCCCTTTAAACACTCTTATAATTGGTAACCCAAATCAGTGACATACATACACTATTTGAAAATTAAATAAGTTGATAAACAAACTAACCAATTATTAGTAAGGAGTAAATTAGTCTTTTATCATACTCCTTAGGTTATAAAATCATTTGAATACCTTGTATTTCACAATGGAGGGAGTAGTTTATTTTGAGGAGAAAATAGCTCCTAAATGCACGGAGAAACCGTAATAAACTCCAAAAACTCCACAAAAGGGAGTCATAGTATCCAAAAACTCCACAAAAGGGAGTCATAGTCTCGCGCATGTTCTAGAATTCTCCATAGGAGCCATCTTCTTCTCCACAAAATAAACAAAAAAAGAAAATCATTTTCCTAGTAAAAAAATATATCTGAATTTTTTTAAAAGAAAGAAAAATTTAAGTGAAGTCAAGAGGAGACGCTCAAACAATCTAGGTGAGACGTGTCTGAACTCTGAAAATCATCCTGTCCACCCATGTCTTGTGGTCCAAAAGAGCCTATGGAGCCCCCAGGCTCCCAACAACTAACACCAGAATCGCCACCAGCCCACCAAGAACAATAAGAGAGGCAGACGGAAAGGAAGAATCACAGAGAACTCACAAACACTTCTTGCAGAGATGAGCAGCACGACATTGCTGTTCTCCCCGAGCTCCTCCCTGTTCCTCACCAAACCTTCTCCCGTCGCCAAGGGCAGGACGGTGGTGGCGGCTGTCAGGTGCAGCAGTGGGCCCTCCCTGTCAGTGGGACATGAAGAGGAGGGGGAGAGGGAGGGTGTAGCAATGGTGGGGAGGAGGCGGGCATTGGCTTCTGCAGCTGCTGCTGTCTGTGGTGCTCCAGTGCTTGGGTTTGCAGGCCGTGGTCTGGCGGCCACTCAGGGCCTGCTGGCAGGGAGGATCCCCGGCTTGTCTGAACCTGATGGAAATGGTAAACTCTTCTTCTCTCTTTTGTGACTGACTGAATTTGGTTCATTTGTTTTGGATCTATAGGAGTAGTTCTAGTTAATAGAGACGAACAAATGCTTTGGAATCCATGCAATAGTACTTAACTGCATAGTCTGGATGTATAATTTTGTGTTTCTCCTGTGGAATATCAACACTACAGAGAAGGTTCAGACAGAAATATTGTTGAATTGTTTTCATGATGCTGATTGTTCAGACAGGTTGGAGAACATACCGTAGGCCAGACGACAAGTCCGGTGGCCACGGAGTTGGCTGGAGCCCCATCATCCCGTACAGCTTCAAAGTTCCAGACGGCTGGGATGAGGTGAGTGAGGCCTGAAACTGCTGACAGAAGTTTAGGTTCACAAAAACACAGTCCCTTGCTTTCTGATTCCAAACTACTCTTTGTTTACCATGGCTCCAACTTAGGTCCCGGTGTCAATTGCTGATCTTGGTGGCACGGAGATCGACCTGCGCTTCGCAAACCCAAAGGAGGGCCGGTTGTTCGTCATCGTTGCCCCAGTTCGCCGGTTCGCAGGTGGGGAACTGAAACCTGAAGAACATGCTGAATCGTGAGGTCTTCATTGGGTGTACCACAGATGATCTGGGTGATGTTCACTGCCAATTCTGTCCCACAGATGATCTGGATGATGCGACCATCGAGAAGATCGGCAACCCAGAGAAGGTGATCACCGCCTTTGGTCCAGAGGTCATTGGAGAGAATGTGGAAGGGAAGGTCCTGTCCACGGCGACGGCAGAGCATTCAGGAAGAACTTACTACCAGTTTGAGCTGGAGCCACCCCATGTGTTCATTACCGCCACGGCAGCTGGGAACAGGCTCTACCTGTTCAGTGTAACTGCAAACGGTAAAACCATTGTTCTTAATAATGGCAGAAATGTAAGACATCTCATTGCAACTTTACTTTTTATCCTGACCAATAGCTGGGAATCAACCTTTTGCAGGTCTGCAATGGAAGAGGCATTACAAGGATCTGAAACAAATAGCAGAATCATTTCGAGTCGTGTAGGGTTTCAATTCCTACTACTTTTTTACAGCGCCTGGCTCTTGTTAATATGATTAGAAGACATGAGGGATTGTATTATGGAGAGAGGATATGTGAACATCACTTTTGATGATCACTATAAAATTAGAAATCTGCAGCAGTTTGTATTTGTAAACTTGCTCGTTAAAGGCTAAATGCTTGTTACTATAAAATTTTTCCTGATGTTGCCTCGAAGGGTACAGATGCTTGCCAATGTATATATCTAGAAACTAAAGCATACATGTCAAATCTCTCGACTTTGTGGGAACAAAACAATTCATGTACAGTTGCTTGGTTGCAGTGGCCAGCCTCCATCGGGGCCAACATTCATTGGATGTTGATCACAAGAAGGAAGACATCCTTCACTAACTTGCATCCTTGAGTACCAGTTTAGCTTCATCACAATGTGTCAGCAGAGCTCTAATGGCCAGATTGAAGCACTAGCGCACTTCCAAGGATGAGTGAACCGTGTAATCATATAAAGCTGCAATTAAGAATGGACGTCAGTTCATTTGAAAAGGATCTTTGAGGTGCTATGGTTTGGACAATACACTTTAATCAACAGCATTTTATCTCAATTCTTGAAGCCAACAAAGAGTATCATATTGTGTAATGAACAACAGAATCATACCTATATATTAGCAGCACATCAGTACCTCCCAGTCAAACAGATGCACTCAGGAAATGGGTTTTCGTAAAAAGATTCCTCAGTCCTAAGCCTAGCTCTGCCCTTGCTTCCTGGCAAGGAGCCATATCTCTTCCTTGGAGCCCCTTGTCTGCAAACAGAGAAATGCATTCTTAATACAATCTTTGAATTAAAGAAAAATATTGTACATATGACTATCCATAACTATAAATAAATAAAATCACCTGTATTTATGCATCTCAGTAACAAGTGACGACAGCTTAGGACCTTCCATGAGATCCCCTTTTCCCAGTAAATCAAAGAGTTCCACCAATCCTTTCCTGCAGATTAAACTAAGATTAATTTAGAAAGGGAACTAAACAAACACTTCGTTACATGGCAAAGATTGACAGACCAGAATATCAAAAGTAAAAAAACAAAGAGTAAGTAAAAGGATACGGTACAAATAAAGGACTTATAACTCCATCCACACGTGCAAATGTGCACAGAAAAGAAACATCTAAAAAGATATTGGGATCTAAGAAATATGTTCAAGATCAGTTGCACTTATCAGAGACTTGTTTCGGAAGAAAAAATAGAAATTAGGCAAAGTTATAAATCAGAGAAGTAGCAAGATCAGATAAAACAAAGCAGGCTTTCAGCAGAAGTCCCATGTTTACCTGTCAGGAGTGATAGTTTTACGATGCCCTAGAAATCGACGATGGCCTTCTACAGCTTTTGCCATATTGCCAGAGTGTGATGGAACAAACACATCACTTTCAACTGCAATTATGTAATCAAGGGCAGCAACTTGGGATGCATGATTATTGAATTTCTCAAGCTCTTCTTTTGTTGCTAGCATCTCCTGCAATACTGAAATTTTAGCAGCATAGCAAGGAAGTCGTAGATACAATCAACAAAAAAGAAGTGTAAATACCTTGCTAACCAAATTTGGGAAGTACGATCTCAATTTTGATATATACTTTTTACCACCATAAATTTCACCTGCTGCAAGGTATATCCATGTGGATTCAGGATAGCCCATAGCACGCAGAAAAATGCCCACCTCAGTTGGAGTCAGTGGACAGTTGCCTTCATATCTCTGTTCAGTTGAGTTTATATCCTTCAGTTTCCAGTGGCTTGTTCTCTCTCTATTGAAAGAGAAAGCAAATAAATACAACCAGCATGCAGAAGTGGAATTGTATGGCTGTGCTTTGGTTGTTCATACCTCATAATTCTCAACTCATTTGCTTCCGAATCACTCAGACCGTAAGTGCATCCCGTAAATGCTAGCATATCCTTTTCATATCGTAGATGAAGAGCAATATATTTTCCACGAGATCTTAGACGCTCTACTAGCTTCTGTTTCGTAAGTGTTATGTTGGCTCAGAACCTCATTTAGAGACTGCTATAAATCTCCAACTGCAATTGAAGACTGTAAATGAGTTAAAGATATGTACAGTTTATCAAGAGAATTCATGCCTTTCCTAGGTCTTCAATTAGATCTGAAAACCGCAGTGCTTGGTAAAGACAGCGACATCTCAATCTCTGGATATCAATTGGAAGACCGTTGTTAGCAAGACGCGAGTCAGATTTTGGGATGTGAACTACCTGCAAGGCAGTGTGAGGTGAGATCATATAATAGTTTCAGACATCAGATCCAGGCAAAAATAGTACTTTCACATTAACAGATAATGACTGGAGCATAGTTTGCAGAAGTAAAAAATATGAACCATCATTGTAGATGGCCCAGTCGCGGAACCAGCATGGAGCGACTGAGCGACTGACTCACTGGACAGCAGACCAGATGTTCAGATTAGGCTACTATGTACTCCAGCCAGTCCCAATTAAGTGATATTTTGGGGTTCTCTAAAGTCACTTGCTTTAAGCTTTTGACTACATAATACTTTTTGCATATTGAGTTGCACTGTTTGGATGTGAGACAAGTAGATTTGTCTATGACTCTTGAAAGATAGTTTCATAAAAGTAGTCAATTTAGAACAATAGACTTCAGACAACTTCAGAACATCACTTATTTGTCACCAGAGGGAGTAACTAGTCATCTTTCAACCGTTAACTATTCATAGGAATGGCTGGTAACCAACTTGTTGCAAGGCAGATCACGGAACATAGCAGAAGGGGGGCAGCACCATGGGAGCAAATGAGAGATGAAGACGCGAGGGAGGAAGGTTAGCGAAACAACGCAAGGCAGGCGACGCAATGGCAGAGGCTACAGTTCCTAGTAGAACAAACTTGCTTCTTGGACCAATTGAGTCGATAGTTTTCTTGGAGGGAAGAAACACAACTACAGGGTAGAGGGTACAGACCCTTACCCGTGGCGCCGCGCCGTGTCTACCTCAACGTGCTACATCCTCCATGTGCCTAGGTCATCACCTATTTGGCAGGTCATCCCCTGATGACTCAATTTGACTTTATGGCTTAATAACAATGCTCAAAACCAGTTTATATCAAATCTATCACAAAATACCATATTGAGGAAAGCTACTTCAGGCAATTACGCCTGAAGCATAGAAAATCCTAATTAGCACATCCATGAGAAAGTATAACACGATACTGCATACAGGCAACATCCAGGCAATGTTGTTTCTCTCCCTATAGCATAAGGCAATCATTGCAACAAGAACTACTACCATGACATTCTCAACTCATTTTGCAGTTTTGCATGAACTAGAACCAACATATCATATCAGTTCAACATATCAAAAATAAGCAGCAAAAAGAGAACCTCCTAAGTTTGGTGTTTGAAATGTAATTGAACTACCTTCTGATTCTTCCAGAGCTCTTTCACTTCCTCATAATAACTTGCACCAGACCATGAGGTGAAGTGTTTCCGGGCTCTTGGAGCAGATCGCAAACTTTCAGGCAAGTCACTCACAATGTGGACATCTCCTTCCAAAGCTTTAATAAAATGAGGCTCATCAAATATGTCTTTAAATGTACTGTAGAGTGTAGACAGTGGTGCGAGTTGTTAAACAAAAAATTAAGGAGCAATCAGACAGAATATATGGCAATAGCTAAACTATAACCTAATGCTCAGAACCTGGTATCTTGCCAGAAGGATCGCTTATCTAACTGAGGGATAACAAGTGTTGCATTCACCAAACGGGCAACTGCGACCATATCACAGATCTGCAGAGGGGAGATTATTAATAACAATAACTGAGTCAAACATAACACAGATTAATCAGAAGACACCAGCAAAAAAAACCCAGGAAGCTATTTTTTTAACAAGAACAACTATATAATTATAGATGCAAGAGCATGCTCACATAAGATAGACAAATATAAAGCTTAGAGTTAAGTCTTGGTGCAATGGACTTACTCCAGTGCGCATTTGGTTGAGTCCTCCATTACTTCTAACAGTCATGTAGCTGTCTGATTTGCCTTGAACTGATAATACAAAAGCAACTGTTAGAGTCATCAACAGAAATGATAATGGCAGAAAAATTATCATAATACCAGTATACCACATACACATATGCATCATTTTTGCATGAGTGCTGTTATCAGATTGCATATATACAAAGAAGGATACATGCGTTTGACTGTGTATAGAACAATTACAAGAATGAGTTCCAATTTGGTCATTGTTGTGTTGCTCCTATGTTCCCACACCATATAACGTACATATGTTTTTTTAATAAAGTAAGAAAGCGTCAAATCGAACCTTCTTGTTTAATTTACTAGCTTGTACAATCAAAGCCACTAAAACCAAAGAAGATATTATAATCATCTCAGAAAATGGGGTAAAGATGATATCAGGAGCCTGAATCATATGCATGAAGTTGGTGTCATCAAGAAGAGCTGGATTATCCACTAAATTGTACCCTAAAATCAACTGCAGCTAAGAGCTAACATTTGATATCATGGACACAAGAATTTCATATTACTATTGATTTATTATAAGAAAAATGATGCAAAGAAAATGAATTACCCTTATATCTAGAGGTTGGTGTAACACAAGCATGATAACCATAGCCATTAGAAGCCCACAGTTGATTGCTTGACACCTGAACATCAAGCTTTGCTTCGATTCAATGACAATTGGATTTCTAAGAGTGGTAGCATCACTACCCTTCATGAATAAATCTGTTAATATCAGTTTCATTTCACAGGAATGGAAAGCATGCAAATTGATTTTGCATGTCTAATGTCCAAAGATATATAAGTGTGCACTGTCCTGTGAGTCTTCTATTGCACATGTTGGTGCATACAAAACATTAGTAGCATAAGAAAAATTATTAAAGAAAAAAAATTATATGTCCAGTTTCCAACTTGGTCATCCAGAATAAGGGTGTCAAAACTCAAAAGCAAGCATTAAAGTTTGCTATCATGCCCTTCTGAAGTTTCTCAAGCTAACGTTTTTTATATGCTCTCCCTAGATACAATATTTCACTTTCCCCTAGCAACAGCATCCAGAGTTGGCCTATCCTTAGTCTCAAGATGGCATGAATGCTTAAGATTGGTCTACCCTTATATCCAACCACTAGTGTTATACTGGAATTAATTTCAGGAGCAATTTGCTCTCTGCAGCTAAAATCTTTTGTTTGAAGGAAACCAACAATCTGGCCTGCAGTTAGTACTAGTTTCACGAAGATCAATAGGTATGTTGCATTGCATACACAGCTATTCTCTATCAACAACCAGGGAAATGAGATTAACTTGACTACCAACGTGAGCACAAACAAAGCAAAATTCGGGCATCCAGCAACCGCATTGCGCCAAGCACCGACGCCTAGCGTACCAACTCGTGCAGTGAAACCTCAACAGGCAACAAGCTACCAGTAACCAAAATGGAGAAGGAGGGATCGCGAAACGGGCCTGGCGGGGCGGGGCCGGGTCCAGGCGGGATAGGTCGACCCGCACGACCTGGTGCAGGGAGGAGAGGAGGAGGAGCGCGGCGAAGGCGAGGAGCAGGCAGGCGCAGCGCGAGATCGGCGAGCGTAGGAGCCGCCGGTGCGGGCGGGGGTGGAGGAGCGGCGGCGCCCCGCGGGGTTTCGCCATGGCCGCGAGCGAGAGGGGATGCAATTGCAAGATGTGAGATCGGTCCGGTCCAGTGGCAAACCGTTGGCTTTGTGATATCTTTTCGTGGGCCAACGAGTTGGGCTTCGCTTTCCTTACGTTTTCCCATTTCTTTGTGACATGGGTTAACGACTGCTTGTTTCACAGTAGATCAGATCCTAATCGTGAATGGGGTTGTGGTCGAGTGGTAGCGCGTGTTCAATGGGACGCTACGATTTAAACGTGCGTGTGAATATAAAATGTGTGGATTATATGCGTTGAAGTTATATCCGATTAAAAAAATCTTGATAATTAAAATAAATTTTAGTGATATAGAATAGTAGCCTGAATTATTTTCTTTTCAAATCACTGAATAATTTCTATACATTAACAACCTAGCCTTTCAGTCCTAAATAAATTGAGGTAGGCTAGAGTTGAAACCCCACCAAGATTCCCAAGTCACGGTTCAGGCACTTCAATAACTGCTTTCCAAGTACTCATATTCAAAAATGGATGTCTAGGTATATCCCAAACTTTCAAATCTCTTTTTATTGCCTCCCCTCATGTCAATTTTCGTCTTCCTCTATCTCTCCTTATATTATTAGCTTGGTTTAGGACTCTATAATGCACTGGTGTCTCTAGAGGTCTCCTTTAGACATAGCCAAACCACCTCAACCGATGTTGGACAAGCTTTTTTTCAATTTGTGCTACCTCTAGGTGATCACGTATATCATCGTTCTGAACTCGGTCCATTCTTGTGTGACCGTAAATCCATCGCAACATACGCATTTCTACGATACTCAGTTATTGAACATGTCAAATCTTTGTAGGCCAACATTCTGCTCCATACAACATAGCCGATCTAATCGTCGTTCTATAGAACTTGCCTTTTAGCTTTTGTGGTACCCTCTAATCACAGAGAATGTCATAAGCTTATCGCCACTTGATCCACCCTGCTTTGATTCTATGGCTAACATCTGCATCAATATCTTCATCCCTCTATAGCATCGATCTCAGATACCGAAAGGTATCCTTTTTAGGCACTACTTGACCTTCCAAACTCACATCTCTCTACTCTTGTACAACTCCACCAAAGTCGCATCTCATGTATTCGGTTTTAGTTCTGCTCAATCTAAAACCTTTAGACTCAAGGGTCTGCTGCCATAACTCTAGTTTCCTATTTACTCCTGCCTAGCTTTCGTCCACTAACACTACATCATCAGCGAACAACATACACCAAGGGATATCCCCTTATATGTTCCTGATAACCTCATCCATTACCAAGACAAAGAGATACGGATTTAAGGCTGACCTTTGATGAAGTCCAATTTTAATCGAAAAATAATCTGTATTATCATCGTTTGTTCCAACACTAGTCACAACTGAATAGTTTTCTATGACCTAGAAAAAAACAAATTGTATTCTTCTTAATACCATCACCGGTTGACAAATGCTGCCGCTACAATTAGCCCTTGTTTAGTTCCACCCCAACTTTCAAAAAGTTGCTACAGTACCTGTCACATCGAATGTTTGCGGTCCGTGTATGAAGCATTAAATATAGACGAAAAGAAAAACTAAATGCACAGTTTGGTGGGAAATTGCGAGACGAACGTTTTAAGCCTAATTAGTCCATGTTTGAACACTATTTGCCAAATAAAAACGAACGTGCTACAGTAGCCCCAAAATCTAAATTCCTACAACTAAACACAGCCTTACAATATTTGAGGGCACGATTCCTTCCCATGTGGCGTGTGCACAATGTGTCAAAAGAACTCATTTTTTTCCTAATATAAAATGAGATATACAACATAAATATTGGGTATAGCTACCCTGGATGGAACTGGAAGATGGAACTGGAAGCGTCAATTGACAGAGGGGAGGTATCGGTATAAGCTATCCCATGTGGCGCCATCCAGGGTAGCTATACCCAATAAATATGAAGAGACTAGTTCATATTTTGTAGAGATCCTAGAACATTCAAATGAAACGGACGAACTGATGCTTCTTTGTTTGGCTTATACCGATACCAGTGTCCCTTGGTCGGAAACTCGGAATCGATGGAGCAAACTGTCCTCGGTGGCTGACGGTTACCTACATTGCGACTATGCACCAAGTACATTGTGCCTTGGTCGGAAAGATAGTTTGCACTGCTGGTTTTAAAGGATATCCAATTATTAACCGAATCCTAGGCTTATGACTCGGCACTGAAACATATACGCCCCGTTCGGCTGGGGCTGGCTGGCTAGCCCCCTCACATAGGCACTATTCACATGAACCAGTCAGCAGTACTTCTCTCTTATATAAACGAACTAGCAACGATACGAACCAGCCAACCGAACAGGCTCCGGTCACTGCCAGCTCTAGCAAAATCGATGGTGATGGTCGGTAGTGATTGCCCGTTTTACAGTAGTGTTAGGTCTTCTCTGAATAAACTATGCTAATCGACCATTAATTTTGCAGGCTTGCAATTGACGCTTTCTCACGTGCCCACCGGCATTTCAATTAAAATTTCCACGCCTCCGACCCACGAGCCCAGCTTCCTTTCCACCTTTCCCAAAAGAGTCGGTAGGTACGGTGTTTGGAATCCGGCGCTGGCTAATGGACACCGCCGACTCATTAAAGTTTGTTTTATCTTTTCTAAGGTTAGTTTCGATGGCAGATTTTATGTCTTAGTTTTCAAAATTGCTATCCCATATAACCTCTCTCAAATATACAGTATAATTATTTTATCTCACGGTTTTATAAGGTAGCTTTAAGGCTGGACGAAAACTCGAAGCTCATTAGTTCGCTTGGCTCGTGACTGGCTCAGCTATAGCGAGCCGAACTGAGTCAAGATTTTAGCTCGTTAGCTATAACGAGTCAACTCGAGCCAGCTTACGAGCCACGCTTTAGAGTGAAAAAGCAGCATAACTTTTATATTACTTCAGGTCTTGCATTTACAATTTGTTGATGACTGATCTAGATCCTATAAAGCTATAATATTAAATTATAACAATGTGTTGTGATCAAACATGTTATAAGAATTATGTTGCCTCTTGCAAAGGTACTGTACAAGAACATAGCCAAGTTAGCAAATAAATATGGTCAACAAAAACAAATATTTTTAATATTTACATGATATTAGATGGAGTTCATATGTGAGATAAGTTACTTATAGCGTCTCAAACTATGAGCTAATTGTAACACCTCGGTGTTACGATCTCGTTTAGCACTGTGATTTAGGCCTAAGAAAAATTTTCGAATCGAGTTTCTCGGGTTTTAATTTAAAACGTACTCGAGGCGATAAGCGAATCCTGTATGACTTAGTTTCGTGGAATCAAATACGCGCTCAAGTTAAATTACGCCGTACGTAGGGATATTCAGGACTGTCCGATAACGATGCTATCGAACGATTTGATCTTTAAGATTCGGCATGACGAGCAACTGTTATAATAGAATAAAAGTCCTTAAGAAATAGAATGATATATATATATATACACACACTCACGGGTCTATTTTTATATGCATGAGCGGTGACGAGAGTTTCCCATTTGGCGGTGAAAATTTGTCCTCTGTACAAGTTGACCTCGCTCTCTCTCACGCGTCTGTCTTTCATATCTCCTTGCTTGGACTCTGCCTGCCCCTATCTGCTCCTGTCTTCTCCGGTCATGTCTGTCTCCGATTGATTTTTCACGCCGAGCTACTATCACCTGAGCAAAGTTCCAACTCACGTATTTCCACATCTCTGCCTCATCTTGTCCCGGTCTGCCCTCTGTCTCCGATTGTATTGCCGAGCTGCCATCCACCTACTGCACCTGCCCGCGTACTTCTTGAACGCTGAGTCCGAGCCGTTGTCTGCCACTCTCCTTTGCCTCCGCCGTCTTCCTCTCTCTGCCAGTTTTTTCCTGCGCGAGCGCATGCACCGCCCTGCACCTTCCCCCCTGCCGCGACCGTGCGTGGCTGTCGTGTGTGCCCCGGCCACGCCTTTTTCCTCATCACGTGTGCGTGCTGCCGCTACGCAGTCGCTACGCCTGGAGCGCCGCACCGCACGCGCAAGGCAGCGAGCCCCGCTGCGCCCGAGCCGTGTGGACGCGCCACCGACGCCCCACGCGCAGCGACCACTGCTGGTCAAGCTCTCAGCGCACCCCTTTTGCCCTGGATGCCGTCAGCCGCCGGTGCCGCTTCACCTCCATCGCCAGAGCCTCCAGCGCCGGTGTCCTCCTCTTCCTTCCCCGCTCTGGTCCGGCATGCCGCCTTCCGGCTCCCGCGGCTGCCGCAGCTGCTCGTCGGGCTGGCGTGCCCCGTCCGTGCACCCGTGCCACTCACGCGCCCCTCGGCCTCGCTGCTGCCCGTAGCGGCACCGCCGCCCTTCACCTCGGTCCGCGCCAGAGCCGCCGTGCCGCAGCCGCTGTGGCCACCGTTGTCGGTCCTCCACGCGCATGACCTCCCTCGGCTTGCCACTGCCGGGTCAGCATCGAGCCACTCTCCTTCCATTCACCAGAGCCGCGCGGGGTTTCGCTTGACTCGCTCCCCGCGCCCCTTTGCCGCGGAGCCATTTCGCCAAGGCTGCGTCGCGTCCTCGCCAGGCCATGCCTCACGCCACCGAAAGCACTAACGCTCACGCTGCCGCCGACCTGCAGATCGCCCCCGCCGCCTTAGCTTATCGCCATGGCCACGCAGCTTTGCTTCAAAATGTCCCCGCCATGTCCCGCGCTGGACCGCAGCCGCAGCGCCATCCGGTCGCCCATGCCCCCTGTCCTTGCCGAGCCACCGAGAATCGGAGCTCCCCTGCCGGTGCTCTGCTTTGAAAGAAGACGAAGGGTATGAATCCAAGCCGAGATTTTATACGGGGGCCTTACTGTGAAATACGCGACCTTAGTGAATAGTGCTGATGTACCTTGACGTGATTTGTTAGAAACGCAGGGACGTTTTTGCAAAATGGACCGCCTCCATGCCGCGTTAATTTTGCCTCGCTATCTGGGCCGGCATTGCTGGGCCGGACTAGCCGCCATGCCTAGGTCGCT